GGTTCGGTTCCACGGCCTTCCTGTAATTTCTCGAATCTAGAATGTCCTCGAACCGCAGCCTTCAGGCGCTGCGTGGCCCTCGCGCTCTCGGCGCGGCGCTTGTCGCCCTGGCGCGTCTCCGTGGTTCGAGAGCCCAGGCCGGCCCGACACCGATGCAAAACTGCCATAAAAACCTGCACCACACTTCTTACTTGCGTAATTGCCTCTAGCACTCTCTCGGAATCCTGTAGCACCTTGTCGGGGATTTCCAGGAGCTGCGGCGACGCTGCCTTGCGCGCGCCGCCTCCGAGCACGGTGCCGGGCCCCGCGCCAAGGGCCCAGTCCGTCGTATCTACAGAAAAATACAGAGGCCAGTTACAAGAAGGCGGAGGGTTCACAAGGCAGCAGGCAACTCTCGGTTGCGTGTGTTCGGGTCTTCTTCTTGTCACAGGATTTGGCCAACTTCGCCTGGGCAGCTGCCACCTTGAGCGAAAAAGGCCAGCGACAGGACGCTGATGCACGAACTTGCTGACACCGTTCCCGTATGGCAATCTGCTATCCATCTTACGGCGTCCACGAGTGCCGAGCCACTAGCAGCCAAGGATGCATGCATGATTCACATTACATGGAATGCTACACCCTTAGAATTTGAGATTTCTTGATAGTTTTGGATGAGGTGCTGCTGTGCTACAGCATGTGGCTTCCGAGGCGCTTGCTGGCAGGCAAGTCGCACCTCAGGGTGCGCTCCAATGACTCTAAGATCTGAGGGTCACTAGTCATGAAGGATACTATATACAGTGAGGCTTACTGTATATACATGCTGTAAGGGTTTCTACAAGTTCTGCAGGGCTTGGGGTAGTGCTTTTTGCAGGGATTTCAAATCCCATCCAGGCGATCGTTGAATTCTGGCTTCCAGCCTTTGGACTTGGCCCGGATCCCAGGGACCTGGTTGTACAACAAGGGCTGCGACAAGGGTTACTACATAACGAAGGTTTGTAAGGTTCGAAGACTCCCTGAACCGCCTTGTTACACGGGTCATTCAATCTGGCGTACCTAGGACTGGTGTAGGAGAGAGAAGTCTTCTTCTGCTCCAGGCTCAGCTCTGCTGGTCCATGGGAAAACTGCAGGAGGCCGTTGCTGTTGAAGTCGGTTGCAGAGTACTTGTGCGAGTAGCACGAGGTTGCTGACGGTGGCTGGTACCCCATATCGCTCTGCACATTCTGTACCCGGGCGAAGATGCAGCTGTTGCGAGCTGATTAGATCAGGCGCCCGCACCCCTCTGCGAAGCGCTTTTTGCAGCTGCAGCACAGCGTTACGGCGAGTTCGCGCCGCAGGCAGGCACTCCCAGCCATTCCTTTGCCCTTGATTGCAACATGTTGATGGAAGCTATCAGCCAGTTGCTTCCGAGGGATGGGCCAATATTGCCTGGGCCTGCGCGCGCCTCTGCCCTCGAGGCACCTCGATTCTCCAAGTCAATTCTCCATCTCACATCCAGAAGCTTTCAAACAACGCTGACTGTTCAAAGCCTACAATCCGGCACTCCGAACGCTTTGAACCTGGCGATGGGCTGCAAGTTTGTCGTGGCTCCTCAACAATCCACTCTTGCCGCCGTCCTGCTGAGGTCTACTCGTAGTGCCTGCTCGTATGATCTACTGAGTAATCTACTGTTGCACGAAGATGCGCACATATGTATGCAGCAATTTGTGGGTGTGTATAGTATAAAAAAGATTATATTTTTTTGCATACATGCATATATGCACATATGTAGGCATACTATAATACATGGGGAGGTCCGCGAAAAAAGTCGATGAGCTGCAGCTCCTCATGCCTCCTTTCAAGTCGGGCAAATGCAAAGCCAGATTCTAGCACAGAGCCAGACGAGGCCGGGCCTGTCCCAACAAAAGCGCAGTCAGAACCCGCTTAGACCAAAGCAGAAGTTTCCAGAATCTCTTGACGGCCAGGGCCCAGAAGCGCACTGAACTGCACAGCAAAGATGATTGCTGCTGCAGCAGGGGCTCTGCGCTGCTTATCTCCGCAAGCATTTCTCAAATTAGTTGATCCTTGAAGATGCGCGCGGGGTCCACTAGGCTCATGACTGGGTCCTGCCGGACCGGATGTCTTCGGGCGGTTCAGTTGTTGCAACAGCTACTGTATGTACTTGATGAGAAACGAACACGCACATGATGCCTGTGTTGTTGACGATACTTACGTTCCATGCCACAAACCGCAAGCTGATGTCGCCAGCGAAGTGAGTCGCCCGCCCGTGCGGCGCACACGCCAGTCATGCCCCAGTAAACAGGTGGGTATTATGAGTGCATATTAATATGTAGTAGGATCCGAGTCAGGTTCACGCCCGACGGCTTTCGCTGTGCAGAACATGTCGAACCTGGCCTGGGCAGCGGGGACGTTGGTCATTCGCGACAGCCCGGCCGTTGGACTGCAATCGTTCCTGCCCCTGTAAGCAATTATTACCTCGAAGCCGAGCGAGCCGTCAACCACACTAAAGCCAAGAGATGGTTCGTGTTCTCCATCCGACTCGAACCCAGGCTGATGCGCAAGGCAGAAAAATACAGTGATGTCGGAAAGCATCAAGATGCTATTCAAACCTTTCCGCACTGCTTTTCAGTTCTTCTCCTCGCTGGCCAGTGCATGCCGCTTCGCAGAGCTGGGTGCGCAGCACGTCGCCACCTGCCTGTACTTGTGTACTCCTAAGGGATCCTACGGGTTGATTGTGAGACAAGCAGCGTTGGCTCAAGGCTTCTAACACCGGCGTGTTGCAATTGTAACTGCCTGTGCGTACTGTACATGGACTATCTTCTGAAGGCTCTACTCAACCCTGTTCGACGGCATAAGTGCGAGCAGCTTTGTGCACTATACATAGAATGGCTGTCGGTTATTTGCGGCAATCCTTGGCGCCGCAGGCGAACATTGCCTGGTCCTTCGGCACAGTGGCGCATCGGAACGACCAGCCGCCTACCTCAACATGTTAGTCTTTGTGCTGGCAGATTTGCTTAACGAATCCGAACTTAGATTCCTTCCACGTCCCACCGAACGTTGTCTTTCGATGTTTTCTGTGTACCTCTATGCTCTTTCTTGCCTCTTGAGTCGCAGCCGGTCCCACCAAGACAGGCAGCAATACCGCACGAAGCTGTGCCCCGTTGTACCCCAAAGCCACCGAGACAAGCAATCTTCCCTGCCCTCCCACCTCTCGGCCGCGACGCAGAAAACCTCACGGGGCGTTTACGAAAGCGGTGGCATGAGCCTTACAGCAACCCTTTCGGTTTGTGAGTTGAGGTATTTGCAGGAGCGCCCCTGCCCCGTCCTCCATAATATTTCGTCAAACCTTTGTCATTGGTGGCATCAATACACAGTGCTGTAAAGCATCAGCTTGTTGGTTTCTCTTCTCCAGCATAATTTCGTCTTGTCTTCGACCAGTGCCACAATGCGACATCTTGTGGTGCGGTTTTGGTCGATCAGCATCCCAGAAGTGACACCGTCCAGGTTTATACAGTTGCTGAGTCAGCGGGCTGTTGATATCGGAGCCTCAGATGCAGGTATGAGCTGTCGATTGAGCATATAGCACCTACCAGACGAAGTGAGGGAACGCGGCGATACTGGCGAAGGGAAATTAGAAGGAGTTGAGTTGTTGCTGAAGACTGCCTTCCTTGTTGCCGCCTTCCGGGTCAAGCCACTGAAATGGTTGAGTTGATTTTGTCGAGGCCTGGCAACGTTTCAACCTGAAGAATTTGCAGGCAGGTGTAGAGTGTAGAAAGTGTTTGCTCAGTTTCCTGCAGTGTTAGACTTAAGGCCTAGGTGCTGGATTTCTTGACAGTTTTTTAAATGGGGCACTGAGTCAGCAATGAGAGGCTTCAGTCTGTGCAGGCTTCCTCTATGCACTGGGCATGCTGAGCTCAGCGCCGCCCATGCTGGATGCTGCTTTGCGAGAGGTGCGCCGAGCCATCTGCCGGTTCGGCTCGTTGCATCCATCTGGGCCATGTAGCTTTGGCTCGGCAGGTGCAGCGCCGTGTCACGGGGCAGCCGGGGCAGCCGGGGCAGCTGGGAGCCACGGAGCTCAGCGGAGCAGCGCCGGCTGCAACGTTGGGGACCGGACCCCGGCAGGTCTCCCGTGCCTGTCCTCTGAGGTGATCTGGGCTCTTGCAGCTCTTGGACAGGACCTCAGCTCTCCTGTGCTTGTCCTAAACCCATGTTGGGAACCGGTAGTCATCCTCAGATTTCGGCCGGAAACCCCTCCCTATAGTCTTCTTGTACGCGCTAATCCAGCTCTTCCTTTGCACAGGGGGTGCATTGCATCGGGCTTCTTGAAGTTTCTCAGCCAGCAAGGGTTTGTCATGATGAGGAAGCACGAGGCGGCCTTGAGAGGGATGGGATTCTCACGTGAGGCGACAGCGGGTTGCCCAGTGCATTTCGGAGCAGGACTCGGAAGCCTTCGCCGCTGCGGCTCGAGCGGCAGAAGATCGCGCAGCAGAGCTGTCGCCACAAGGAGCACTGTGGCTCTCAGTCTGAAACGCTGCGCAACTGTGTGGTCTTCGTATGATGTTTGAACCGATCCGCTGGCTGGGAGGAGTGGCGAATGTCTTCTGGGCATTCGCAACGCTGGAGGTACCGGGGGAGGCAGAAGTCTCACGGGCTGTGTTCGGGCAGCAGGGACCTTGGAAGGCTTAGGAAGATGTCGTCGGACTTGGCATGGGAAACATCTACAATAGTCGAAGCCTTATGCTTTTGGGCGCCCTCCCTGCCTCCGCTTCGTCACTACCCTGAGCTTGGCACTTCTTTCCCACGCCTGTCTGGGGCAGCACGCGCCTGCAGCCCGGAGCTCATGCCGCAGGCGGGGCTGTGGATGGCGTCAGCGTTTTGAAAGGCCCGGCAACGGACACCATTCCCTCACAACTGCAGGGCTTGGTGAACCTGGCCTGGGCGTTGACGGTGCTCATGGCCGCGGAGGCGAGTTGAATGATGTGCAGTGTCGTAACGTGCCCCGCTTTGCCGTCGGTCTGTGCAGCCGACATAGACTAGTTGCTCACAAGGCTGGCAGCGGGAGTGGCTCCACTGCACTGGTGTCAAGCGCATTCGTAAGTTCGTAGTTCGTGAGTGTGTGAGAGAGAGAGATCGTGTGTGAAAGCCAAAAAGCCTGAGGGTCGCGAGAGGACCCCTAAGCCCAGCACACAGAACGAAAAGAGATCGTGTGTGTGTGTGTGCGCATGTGTCGCAAACTGCCCAGGTCTAGAGGCATCTACTCTGCAGTCAACACTCTCGCTCGCATCGAATCTTGTTGGCTCGCTGAAGGTGGGAAGGGTGCGTCATGCCGCAGGTTTTACAGGAGGTTGTTGTTGTTCCGGGGTTGCGGAGTATTGGAATAACCAGCACTCAATTAACCAGCCACTCCTCTTAAGCACTACGTATCATCACAGACTGATCAACGCACTTGCAGCTAGCGAACAGAATGTCAATGTGTAATTTCGTTGGTCATATATGAGATGGTTGTTCTTCCAGGGCTACTACTTGGCGGTTCTGGCTAGAAGCCGTCCGCAGAATCGAACTGCGGGTAGAGTTCTCTACATGCCTCGCATCAGAAGACCAGAACAGGAAGCCGGAGCATCTGCGGAAAGGCTGTGCATGCTCTGTGCAGCATCAGCAAGCAATCTGTCCTCAGCTAAGACACGTAGAAGCTGCAAGAGTCGATGTGGGGTGTTGTAGGCAGGCTGAGCGAGAGAAGGACCACTTCCCACACCGAGCAACATGCCAGTGTTTTCCAACCTGTTGCCAACTGGCACCTTCCACTGCAGACGCTGGAGCTTGCTGCCCTTTCCTGGGTGGTTGCGCACTGCCGGGCCGATCATGTCTCTGTGGCTCACCGGCATTAGCCGGCGTTCACGCTGTTGCTGTGCGAGGATGAAAGTGCGGGAACCTGAGGCACAGGCCCGGAACCTAGAGGCGCCCTTGGCCACGGAAGTCCTGCAGCGGCTGGCAGGGGCAGAGGCTTTGATAGTGGAGGAGAATTTTAGAGGATTTCGAAATTCATTTGGAATAATCAGAACAATCACAACTAATAAACTACAAGCAAACATTCTGAGACAGGCAGAAGGACCTAACTTCAGATTTTTTGGTTGCTTGAGCCGCCTCGAAACACAACTCGGATCAAGTGTGATGTGAGGCTTTGTGCTGATGCTTGGCTGTACTCGTACATGCTCGTACATGGTTTGGAAGATCGGTTCCCGGCAGAAGTAATCGGTTGGAAATTGCTTGGACTTGTACAAGGCGGAGATTGATTTAAAGGTGCGTATGCAGTGTGCAGATAAAGTAGTCAAGTAGAAGAGCCGCAGCATGCAAGCCCAATGTGACTCTTGGGAGCCGCCATCATCTGCAAGCAGAGGCCATGCCCGTGATTACGGTGGCCTTGATCAGCGGAAAGAAGGCTGTGATAGAAGTAACGGGGGACACCAGGGTCAATACACTCATACGAGACGCACAGATCGAACTGGGCGTCGGGTTGAGCAAGCTGATCAACGAACGTGGGGATCTGGTAAATGCCTCGATGACGCTGGACGAGGCAGGCATTGAGAACGAGGAGACCGTGTGGGGCATCGTACGACAGGACACGGTCGCAGCTTCTAACTCGGCCTTTGCCGTCTTGCGCAGCGACGGATCTGTCATTACCTTGGGCAATCCTTATGATGGTGGCAAAGCCGGAATCGAGCAACAGCAACAGCTGAAAGGTGTGCAATGTATCAAGGCCGCAGCACGCGCTTTTGCAGCGATTCTGGTTGATGGATCGGTGGTATCTTGGGGTCATCCCCGATGTGGCGGCGACAGCCGTGAGGTGCAGGACCGTCTGCAGAACATTTGCCAGATCCAGGCCACGAGACAAGCCTTCGCCGCGATCTCGAACGATGGACATGTTGTGACATGGGGTGACCCGGAAGAGGGGGGTGACAGCAGCACTGTCCAGGAGAAGCTGCATGGTGTCAAGCAGATACAAGCCAGTTTACATGCTTTTGCAGCAATCCGTGAAGATGGATCGGTCGTTGCATGGGGTCAGCCGGATGATGGGGGTGACAGCAGCACCGTGCAAGAGCAGTTGAGGAATGTAAGCTGCATCCAAGCCTCGTACTGTGCCTTTGCAGCAGTGCGGAAGGATGGATCTGTCGTGACTTGGGGAGATTCCAGCTACGGTGGCGACAGCAGCGACGTGCAGGCGAACTTGCATGGCGTTGATCAGGTCCAAGCATCAGATCGTGCCTTTGCTGCTCTTTTGTCTGATGGATCTGTGGTGTGTTGGGGTGATCTCGACTACGGCGGGGACAGCCGCTTGGTGGCTGGGCAGCTGACGAAGGTCCGCTGCATCCAGGCGTCGAGTTCTGCCTTCGCAGCGATCCGGAAAGACGGATCCGTGGTCACTTGGGGCCTTCCGGAGGGTGGAGGAGACAGCAGAGCTGTGGAGACAGAGCTGAGCGTCTTAAGCGGCTCTGCAAAGAAGGTGCGAGACGTGCAGTCTTCTGGATCGGCATTTGCGGCCATCTTTGAGAACGGATCTGTAGTTGCTTGGGGTGATCCGGAGTATGGTGGGGACTGCAGTGCAGTCGCAGAACAACTGCGCAATGTGCGGGAGGTCCAATCATGCGACCGCGCTTTTGCTGCGATCCTGGAAGATGGTCGTGTCATTTCTTGGGGTTGCCCACGCTTTGGCGGCAACAGTTCTGCCGTGCAGGAACAGCTGCAAGACGTGCAGCACGTAGCAGCTTCCGAACATGGGTTTGCAGCCGTCTCATGCAGTAGACCTGTGGCAATTTGGGGGAGGCTGCTTGTCCCCACATTGGGCATGGAACTAGTGCGGTGAGCAGCAGGCAGTTGTGGCAAAGCACACAATTGCCCAAGACTGGGAGCACGAAGGGTGTGCCCGTGCAAAGACACACGTGCAGCTGTGCCGCTACAGCCTTGGCAGTCCAAAAGCCGCGCAGCGTCTTTCTGCAGCACCCAAGACTCAACGTGCCCGAGCACCACAAAGCGCAAAGTAAATTTAGTGACGGCAGCAGGCCTTTGAGGCGAGACAGCTGTCGAATTTAGCCTGGGCCTTCGCGCCCCTGGGGCTGCAATGGCGTGCGTCCGAATTGCTGCTAGAATGGATCGTGCTGTTATTCTGGCTGTCTTGATACAGTGACGCATGTCCTGAGGACAATGGCTTCGCGTGCCCAGCCCGGGGAAGTCTGGTCTTGTGCGACATCGATGTGCGAGCAAGAGAGTGTGCGTAGACGAGCAGAGCGGGAACGTGTTATGGTGCGGTCCAACGCCCAGCCACAACAATGAGAGAAGCTGCAGCTCACTTGGAGACTGCCTCCAGTGAGCGACTTGGAGGAAATTCTTTTGATGCAGGACCCTGAAGATCAGGAGGCAGTCCGTCCAGCCTCTGCAGTACAATTCACAGACAGAAATCGTCGTCACGAAGACAGGAATAAATCGCACGCTATCGCTGCTTGAACTCATCTTCGGGGACTAGCCCACGCAATGCTGCACACTACCGTGTATCCAACAAAGCCTAGTATGCCTAGTCTTGTGGTGACTGAACTCGAGGGATACATAAAGAGCATGTCAGCGCAGGGTTCAGGGTTTGTCCTGGACCACACGCGATGCAAGCAAGAGATCTCTAGTAAGTAATTACCCTTGCGTCTTCCCTTTGTCACACACAGCCAAGCTTACGCACTTGTGATTGATCACTCCACCCATCCCCACCGTAAAGCACGGCAGGGTCTCTGGCCCGGGCAGTGCGGACAACCCCCTTGTGCCCGAGCGAGAGGGTGCGGGAAGAGTAAGGGAGAGCCCCACTTGCAGTCTGAAACAGCAGCTCACCGTTGTGGCTGCGTGGCTGTTCCATGAAGTCAGCAGGACCCTGCGAGGGAGCTTGCCACAAGATCCAATCCCAGCAGAGCCGAAGGTGCCACGGTGGTCGAAGCCCTGGGCCGCGCTGCCCTGCCCAGGCCCGGCTGCGGCTTCAAAAGTAAGCTCTGGATCCTTCATGTCCAGGAGCATCGTAGGCAGAGCGTGTAGACGGCTACGAGTTCCGAGTTGCTAGTACATTGACAAACTGACTCAAGGTTGGAAGGCTTCTCCTCGCAAGGCCAGATGCGCTGTATGTTGGCACATGCACGTTCCTACGCATGTCTGGACAAGTTCCACCTCATCTCTTTTAGCCTCGTTGTGGTAGCCTAATCGTATAAGATGTGAGAGGCCTCTCCAACATGGCCTGGGCTTTGGGCTGCACCACGGTCTTTGCAGCAGGCCGGGCTGTATGCGTGGAACCAGAGCTCATGGAATCCGCCAGCAACATCGTTGGGAGTGCGACATCAAGCTGCTGGTAACTGAATGAACTTTTGAACATGAACACAGTTGTAGGGGACTCTAAGTGGAAGCAGCACAGAGGGTGTGGAGGACACGAGTGTTTGTGTTTGATGACCGTACAGCGCTCGCCGTCACGTCTACGGCGTCGGAAGGCATTGGCGAGCGCCTCCTACGGGGCCTGGCCGCTGCCTCGGTGTCGCGCAGCTTCTCACCGCACCGTGGCAGCAAGGGGCTCGGAGAAATCTGAGCCAGAGCCAGGAGCTACTGTACATTACTGTACTCTAAGTACAGCCAGTGCCAGTACAGGATTTGACTGGGTTGACTTGTTATCTTTGGGGGGGGGGGGGGGCCTTGAAGCTGCTCCGGGGCGAAGCCGTCTGTACAGGGATGACACGAGAGCTGGGTCAGAGGCTCCTTCGGGCTCCCAAGTACCAAAGAGGAGGTTTCTAGCCTCGCAGCAAGGGAGGTTCGCACACCCCCAGAGGAGAGGAGAGGATTTGTATATATATATATATATATATTTATATTACACTATATATCTATATATATATATACACTATATATATCTATATATATATATATATATATACACTATATATATATATATATATTGGTCAGATCTGTCCCAGGCAGGGCGTGGCCTTGCTCGCTTGGGCCTTTGCGCCGGAGAGCCGCATGCGGATGGATCCGGCAGCTGGTCCGAGATGCACAGACCAAAGAGAGATCTCAGAACATCAGAATCAGAAGGGCTTCCGATGGAGTGCCTGTTGAACCTGTTGTTTCGAAGATGCGTGAAAGGAGCCCGTCTCAAACGACATAGACTAAAGAGCAAGGAAGCAGACTGATAAGACAATCACAACTCAACTGAAAGTCTGCGGTGATCCCTAATACCACTAAGATCCCATCGTCGCCTGCAGCCGCAAAGCTGCATCTCCTTGAAACCATTCAGCGAGAGGTCCAGGCAGGAAGATGTCAGGGGTTCATGTCTAAGATAGTGAGGAAGTTCTTGAGGGCATGCGCTTCTCAGAGTCACTCTGTGCCCGATCCAGGTTGGCTTGCGCCAGGGATCACATCCACGAACAGCGTCTGATGGATAGCAGAAGACATCGGGGGAGTCGACGGCTGGATCAGTGTGTTCATGAAGGTGATGCACAGCGCAAACCGCTTCAGCTTCCTGTCCGGTGCAGCGAGAACCGCGGCGACGCCAAGACTCTACAATCGTGGGGGGTGGCACCTTGCACTTGCGTGACAGCGAAGCACCTGAGCGACGCATGTGGAATGCGATTCCCCAGACAAAACCCTCTTCAGCAGGCAGCTGCATCTGAGAACATCAAGGTGACTGCGGGGGGAATACGGAATACGGTTTACGCTTCGACCATTGCACGTGCGAGAATTGCCGACCACAATTGTATTGCGAGTGATGCGCCTGTCTGTCCCAGCCTCTCCTACCAGCATGATGTTATCCATGCTCTTCCAGTAGCTGTTTATACAAGCTGGCAAGTTTGTTCTTCTTTTGTCGTGTGCACGATGAAGTTGACAGACATTCAGATTTTTGACCATCTGAACATTCAGGTGGAGAGCTTGGTGATGCCCCTCATCACGGAGGGCAACCCTGACGAGGAGGAGGAGGACGACGACGACAGTGGCGGCTAAAGAGTCCAAAGACATGTTGCGACTGCCAGACTCGCGCTTTCTGTGCGGGTGGCTAGCTGCCCACTGCACAGCTCGGAGATGCCAGGTTGTGCTCTCTCAAGGCAGCTGTCTTTGTTGAAATTCAGTTGCAACGAAGGAATGGTCGGAAATTGCTGCATTGTCCATCACTCAAAACAGCAGCCCAATCCTCTGAGCATAGTCCGACACGCTTGTGATCCAAGCATCTTGCTGCGAAACTTTGAAGCCCCTCAAGCATCAGCATGAGTGACGGAGGCTTCGGCAGCTGCTTGGGGCAAATATGTCACAGCGTTGGGCCGGGATCGATGGACCCGAAGATGCGCAGATGCCGGCTCTCATCGCGGAGCTTGGCGAGGCTGGCAAGGGAGAGAGAGCTAGTGTAGGGACCCCTCCCCCTTCCCTCCCCCACCGCTTCTGGACGTGGGCCCATCCAGATACTTGGAGGATCATGGGACTTAGTAAGTAAGGTTATAAGTCCCCTACTTGGGGTTATAAGTATAGTTACCTTAGTTATAACCCTACTTACTAAGTCCCATGATCCTTTAAGTAGCTGGGCTTCCTTCCAAGAGTCCTGACTTGCGCTCAAAGCCTTGAACCAATCGCTCTGCCGGCCTTGAGAGCTTAGCATTACTGGGTACCCCCAAGTCTTTGGCCGCATGGCAAATATAGCCACCAGATCAGCCAGATCTTGCAACGTTTTCAGTAAAGGCACCTTCCCAAGCATTTGATCATCAGGACGAGTGCCTTGAATAGACGACCACCAGCACTCACAAAAAGAAGCTCAACCTGAAGTGAGAGTTTGCGGTAAGAGGTCCCCTTCACACGTGACATCAATCGTGCTGGCGGGCAGTGATGATAGTATAGTATCATTGTGCAATGGCAGTTGCATGTCGTCGTTGTCAAAGTCGTTGTCGTCGTCGTCGTGGTGGTGGTAGTAGTAGTAGCAGCAGTAGTAGTAGTAGTCGTAGCAGCAGCAGCAGCAGCAGCAGCAGCAGCAGCAGCAGCAATAGCAGTAGAAGTAGCAACAGCAATCAGTGGTAGCAGTAGAAGCAGCAGAAGCAGTAGAAGCAG